ACCTATTTCTGAAGCAGAAAAATCTCCATATATATTTTGTATCTGAAATATTTTCCACCAGGCCATTTGACAGTTCACACGCCTTGAAGATGGCAAAAGCGAATGTGGAAAAGCATTATGCCGTGGTCGGCGTGTTGGAGGATTTCAACAAAACTCTGGCTGTTCTCAGTCACTATGTCCCAAAGTTTTTCCGTGGCGCCGCTCGACTTTATGAAGGTGAGTTCATCAAATCTTTATGAAAAACTGTTCAAAATGTTTCTCAGTGTTCATCTTGAAATTTTTGGAAACGATGCGCAATTTTCTATGGATTTGAACTTCGGCATGCTGTCCCCGAATGCGGGAGACAATTTATACCTGGAATCCCCCCTTTTTAATGCTTTTCTCAGTAATGAATTACTGTATATATGTGATTTTATCAAGGGGAGATGGCGAAGAAAGATTTAAATTGTTTAAATTTTCTTAATGTCTGCAATAATTAATTTTCAAAAATTTTCAGATAATTGCTACAACTCATCAGCCAGAGGTTCCAGGATGAAAAGCTTTATGATGGAATCTTATTTTCGCAGGGTGTCAATGTCAACAAATATTTTATGACTATACTTCGGGACTAATTTTGAGAAATATGGCGTGGGCTCAAAGAATAATTCATTATTCCATACTATGATGAAACGTAATTAATGTAATGACTCTTTTTTATGAATTCATGAAAATTATCAGAAAACTTATGAAAAGGAATAAAATAATTTATTTGCGGCAGTCAATTTTGATGACTTTATAAGTACAGAAATAATTTCATATTTCATCATGTATATTTTAAACTAATCAATCCTAACTTTTCAGAGTCCAGAATGTCAATAGCCTAGATTTTTATGCGTCGAACATCAACAATTTGTGTCATGTATCAAATATGTAAACCTTTTTTGGGTCTAAAAAATTTTAAACTTTTTTAATTGCTTATTCTGTTGCTAAAAGCGAAGTTTCGGAAATTCGTGGGAATTTGCAGATGCAGTATGTGCAATTTGACAATGATTGGAGAAAAAAATCTGATCTATGTGGCGAATACAATATTTATAGAGATGCTCAGTTGGGCTCTGCTCAGTTTTTTTCTTACGCTCAGTTGGGTCACACGGTCACACCTCATTTCTTGAATTGAAACCTTTTTTTGAATTTGGACCACAGTATTTGAAAAACAAAATCTTAGTTTAATTTTGAGCCTGTTCTTTTTTTTTTTGTGCAGACCAAGGCGACGATCTTCCGGGTGCAGAGAAGAACTGGTACAAACGGCCAGTGTCGCAAGAAATCCAAGATTTAGTCAGCCGGAACTTGACAAACGAAATCGATTTCTACAATTTTTGCCGA